CGGAGCGGGGCGCGGCGGCCGGCGGCCGGCGCGGGGAAGATGGCGAGCGTGGGGCTGCAGTTCCAGGCCAGCGCGGGGGACGCGGACCCGCAGAGCCGGCCCCTGCTGCTGCTCGGGCAACTGCACCACCTACACCGCGTGCCCTGGAGCCACGTCCGCGGGAAGCTGCAGCCCCGGGTCACCGAGGAGGTGAGCGGGCCGCGGCCGCCATGCGCCCGGGAGCCAGGCCCGGCGGCGCGCAGGCCCCGCCCGCGGACACAGCCCGCCCCGGGCCCCGCGGTCCCGGACGCCGGCGCCGGCCTGGCCTGCTGCGCCCGCGCCTCCCGGCCTGGTTCCCCGGACGGACGCGCAGGCCTGGCTTGCAGAGCCGGCCTTCCTCGTGGCATCTGGCCCCTGACCCCGTTCAGTGGAAACTGGCCAAGCCCCACCGAGTTGGTGTCCAAGTGTTGAATCAGAGGGGCCCCTGACCGTCTCTCAGGCCCAGGCTTGATCCCACGAGGGTGGGAGGTGCCAGCCAGGGACACACAGCTCCCACTTGCAGGGTGGGGAGCCTGGGAAGTGCTGGTGAGGCAGGCAGGGCCCGCTCCCGCGGCTGTTTGAAGTCTGGTCTCTCTTGTCTCCCTTATGATCTAGCTCTGGCAGGCCGCTCTGGCCACACTCAACCCCAACCCCACGGACAGCTGCCCCCTCTACCTGAATTGCGCCACCGTGGCAGCCCTGCCCTCCAGGGTGAGCAGACACAACAGCCCCTCCGCCGCCCACTTCATCACCAGGCTTGTGCGGACCTGCCTGCCACCTGGAACCCATCGTTGCATTCTGGTGAGTGCCTCTGAGAAAAGGGCTGCTCTGGGAGCTCAGGGCCCTCTATGGACAGCAGGGCATTCTGGCCCCTGGGACCTCATATCACAGTCCCTGCCTTGTAAAAGGTCCCAAGAGACCAAGTGATTTACCCCAGGTCAGTGAAAGTGGCCAATCAGAGGCTCCAGCCTAGATTTCCTGAGGCTAAGCCTCATGTCCGTGCTTCCCTGTGTCTGGTAAGCTGGTGGCCAACATCCTTTTGCTTATGGAGCGAGAAGTGCTTCAAGTCACTCTGAAGGCACCTGAGGAATGGGATCACTGGGGCACCCATTCTGCAGGACTTCATCTGGAGCTGATGTTGGGGCTGCTCTAGAAAGCAGCTATGGGTGGCCCCGTGGAGCCCCCTGGTCCTGGGCCCCACCTGCCTCTCTCCCTGTGCTGCAGATGGTCTGTGAGCAACCAGATGTCTTCGCCTCTGCCTGTGCCCTGGCCCGCGCCTTCCCTCTGTTCAGCCACCGCTCAGGGGCTTCTCGTCGCACAGAGAAGAGGACTGTCACAGTGGAATTTTTCCTAGTGGGACAGGACAACGGGCCAGTGGAATTGTCCACTCTGCAAGTGGGTGTCTGGAGGTGCATACCCTGTCCCTGGGCCCCCAGGAGCTCTCCACCTGAGAGATGCCGCCCCCTCCCAGGGGAGGACAGTAGGGCTGCTGCCATTCCTGGGAGTCCCCAGGGGGCAGTCACTGGGAGTCCAACATGGGAGGCGCTGTTTTCAGGATTCTGTTCTGGCTGGGTTTACACAACCACCCCGTTATGCGTCACCCTTCCCAGAGCACTTATACAGATGTTATTCCACTTGGTCCCGAGGATGGTCCTTGGCAGGCCAAGCTGGAAGCACTTCCAGCCTCTGAGCCTGTGTATGGGCCCGACCTGAAGCCCCTGGTCCCTCATAGCTGCCCTGACACCATTGCTGTGGCCTTGCCTCACTGGGCCACCTGCTTCAGCAGCCAGACCCAGTCACCTGCCTCCTGCTCCAGAGCTTCCCCTTCACTTCTGTCTCAGGAAGGCCATCGCCTTCAGCCTGGTGAGACTCCCTCTCGGCCCCCCGCTTTGTCTGCAGCTCCTCTCTGAGCCCTGTAATGTCCCCTCCATAGAAGGAGGGAACATGCTTCTGTCTCTGCCATTGAATCAACTCTTTTTTCTCTTCATCTCCAGAATTTTAAATGACATAGTCCAATCGTTTTTCTTAATTCCCTTTATTTACCCACCACCCAAACCTGGGTTTTGCCCCCTTGCCAATGTTTTTAAGGGTCCTGCCTGCTGGACCAGAGCCTTGTCCCTTGTCCTTGAGGCCCCCACCTGTTGGGAGCCAGTTTCCCATTTCTCCCAACCTGCCACAACCTCTCGTGCCCCCTTTCCAGCCTCTCCAAGCCTACCTTCTCCATGCTGGGTCTTGTCAGGCACTCTGGGCACCCCCTGTTCCCTGCTCCCTCTGTCTCCAGGGAGTTCTTCTGAGCTCCAGGCCCACCATCCCGCAGACCTCAGGCTGGATTCCCCTTTCCCTCCCCCTCTTGCCCACCCTGATCCTGTGCCCCACACCCCCATCTGCCTCCTGCTCAGCTGTCCCTCAGTTGTCAAATGTATTTAGGGAGTGACACTCTGTAGCCTTTACACAGCCTTCTCCTTTCTCCTCACCAGGGAACCTCCTCAACGCCCCCCACCCCTGCCCCTGGGCTCTGAGTCCTGTGGTTGCCCACTTGTCTGATGCTTTCATGGATTAGTGTGTGGTCACCTGATGTGCTGCCCTTGAGTCCCTCAGGCATCTTTGGACCCCCAAAGTCTAGGATGATGCCTGGCACATAGTAGGTCCTTACGTATGTGTGGACAGAATGAATGAATGGCCCTGCTCTTGTGATAAGGAGACAGACCTGCGTGCTGTGCCCTGCCATCCCTTGCTTTGCGCCAGAGCTGAGCTTGGTGGGGCCTGCAAGGTCACGGCTGCCTCCCTTGAGGCCAGTGCTACTGCACTGACGCACTTCCCAGACAGGACAAGAGCTGCTGACAGGCGTCAAGGGCTGCACATCTCATATCCGAGCTGTCAAGTCCCAGGTCTCTACCTTTGAGGCTTCGGGGTTTAATTACCTGGGACAGGCAGTGGCTCAAGCAGCAAGCAGACAGGGCGGGGGCGGTGGCCAGGCTATTGGAATCGACCTCGCGCCTGCCCTCTGCGACGTGCAGGGCCTGGGGGAGCTGATGATGAACTCGGTGGCCCGCGCCCCCGCAGGCACTGTGCTGCTTTTCTCTTAATATCCTTTCCTTGTGGCCAGTGAGGAGGGCCTGATGCAGCCAGCTGCCTGAAGCTTCTGAGGCTTGGGGTGGGCAGTGGGAACCACGTGGGCCAGGGGTCCTCCAGAGTCTGCTGTGGGCAGACAAGAGTGAGCAGGCGGGCACAGGTGGGAGAGCAGCAGGTCTCTGGGCCCTGTGACCTCTGCTTCTGTGTTCCTCACCGGCCCCTCCCAGTGCTTTCTTGGGTGCTGGGTGGACACATAAGGTCCCTGGTAGGGACTCAGTCCAGTTCCTCTCTCCCAAACCCTGTACCCAGAGCATGCTGTCCAGTGATAAGGAGAACAGGGCAGTCGGAGCTGCATGCCCCCAGGAGCCTGTGACACTCACGTGGGGTCCCTGTGGGGGTAGCACCTCCCGTGACTGGGGAGTGGGTACAGGAGGAGGGTGGCCGGAGTTTGAAGGTGAAGGAAGGGTACTGAACCCAATGAGGCCAGAGGTGGCTGTGCCCAGCGTGCATTCAGTGTCCTTCAGATGTGGCAGGATGGCGGCGGGAGGATGGAGGTTTTGGAAAGGACCCTGAATAGGAAATCAGGGCGTTGGGCCTCAGGGCTGTGCAGTGCTAGGGGTCTGGGTGGTCACCATGTAGAACTCTCCATTTGTGGGTCCCAGTCTCAAGGGAGGGCAGATGGGCCTTCCTCTGCCTCCCACCTGTCTCCTGTGCCTGGGAACCTCTGGTGCCTTTGGGCTCCTGGGGAAATGGATGAGGAGAGGGTATCCTCTCCCCCCTCCCCCCAGGTCCCCAGCCCCTGTGACAGTCTTTTTCATTTTTCCTAGTGCTTAACAAATGCCACAGAAGGTGTGCGGCTGGCTGCCCGCATTGTGGACACGCCCTGCAATGAGATGAACACCGATGCCTTCTTGGAGGTTTGTCCCTGGCCTTTGCAAGGGGGCAGGGGGGCAACTGGGGTGGGTGTTGCAGACCCCAAGCAGAGGCAGAGAAACCTGGGGCTGTCCACACTCTCTGACCTCGCCCTGGAATCCTGAGGCTGTTTCCCATGAGGTTATTATGCTGTCCACCCAGCTCCGAGGCCGCAGCCTCAGCAAAGGGCACTGGGAGGACAAGACCTGCCTTGAGACCCCAGCAGGCCCACAGCCATGAACTGCAGGGAGCTGGCGAGGGTGGAGGGTGCGCCTTCATCACAAGAATCCCAGCCGCTGGCCTCCAAGGCTGGCTCCTCTCCCACCACATGGGTGTTGGCTCATTGCAGGCCCCAGCCTCGCTTTAAGGCCAGCCTCCTCATGGTCTCTGTGCTGTTGCTTTTTCCGTGAACGTGTCCAGGAGATCAACAGAGTCGGAAAAGAGCTGGGGATCACCCCAACCATCATCCGCGATGAGGAGCTGAAGACAAGAGGCTTTGGAGGTGGGTGCGGGCTGCAGCTCCCAGGTTGGGGCCTGGTGTGGGTAGCCGGAGCCACTTGGTGGCAGGGGGCCAGCGAGTCACATGGTGAATTGTCCCAAACTGCATCCTGTGTCTAAGCCCAGGCCAGAACCTGGGAAGCAGACCATCTCTGGGGGAGGGAGGGGCAGCCGTCCAGGTTATGATGCACATTCTGGAAGCCGCTCGGCCCAAGTCCTTCCCTCCAGCAGCCTCCACACCCTGTGCATCCCACTCCTAGGCCAGCTCAGCAGGGCCTCTCTGTTCCTCGAATACACAAGTTCACGTCCCAGTCAGGACCTTTGTGTGGGTGGCTCTCCAGTGGGAATCCTCCACCCAGGACATCCTGCGGTGGGGGCTGTCCTGCCTCTCCTCTGTCTCTGTCCTGCCTCGCTTGCAGGAGCATTTCCTCAGAGGCCTCCCCTGACTGCTCAGGCCGTCCTCCCACTGCCTGGGAACCAGAGAAAGGCATGTGCCTGGGCTGCCCCGGGGCTTTCCCAGGGCTGGGGGCTGGGGTTCCGATGCTGTAGTTACCTGTGGCTGCCAAACAGATTAGCCCCAAGGTAGCTGGCAGCTGGAGGCAATAGACAGCTTCCCACACCTCCATGGGGACTTGGGGATGCCTCCGTGGCCCAGGGCCTCTCCCTGCTGTGTCCTGTGCCTCTCCACGGGTGGCTCATAGCACGGCAGCTGCCCTCAGAGCTGGGCTCTAGGGAGAGTGAGAGGTGGGAGCCCACTTTCTTGTCATCTCATCCCAGGGGAGGCATCTTGTCACCTCTGCTGTGCTCTTGGTTAGGACTTGCCCATACTGCACAGGACGTGAACACCCAGTGGAGGGGTCACTAAGCGCACCCACAGATACATAAACCAGGAGGTAGAAGCCTCTTAGGTTGGGGCAAGTTTCTCAGAGGTGGCGTTTGCCCTGGGTTCTGCGGGAGCTTGTCCGGCAGCCACCATGACCTCTTGACTCAGTGGCCCAGGCACCAGGGGATGTGGCCTCTGCCCTGGGAAGTTCTGTTTTTCTTGGGAAAAGTGGCATGTAAACCTGGGGGGTGAGCAAGCCATGGGTTGTGGGAGTGGGCTGCAGCAGGCAGTACAGGCTTCCCAGGCAGGCAGGCTCAGGGCCGGGGGATGAGTGTGGGCCGGGTGGCCTTGAAGCTTCATCCAAGAATCATTTCACTCTGGGAGCCTGTTCCTTTCCTTTTGGAAATGATACAGTGTTTTTTTGCTCAGTGGATTTTCTTGCCTGATGATACTTTGCACAGGATCACTCGCAGCCTCAGACATTGGAACTAATTTGCACTCCCAGGTCCCATGCAGGCTGGGGCAGGAGGGAGCTGGGCAAGGGCTAGGGCAGCACAGCTGTCCAGGAGAGTATCTGTGAGCCAGTATCCGGGGTGGATGTGCCCAGGGCCTTCTGGAGTCTCTGCCTGTGCAGCCTGTACCTCACCCTCCTCTCCCTACTCCTACAGGGATCTATGGGGTAGGCAAAGCTGCCCTGCACCCCCCAGCTCTAGCGGTCCTCAGCCACAGCCCGGACGGAGCCACGCAGACCATTGCGTGGGTAGGCAAGGGCATCGTCTATGACACCGGGGGCCTCAGCATCAAAGGGAAGGTGAGGTGGGTCCAAGGGTTGGGTCCAGGCCAGCTCATCCTGCTCCCCCAGAGCAGCCGTAGGGAGGTAGCCAGGTTCCCCAGAGCTCAGAGTTGAGCTGATTTAGGGAGGGAGTCCATGAGTCTTTTCCTTTTCTGAGAAGGAGCAGTTTTGTGGGGACACTTGGAGCTCACGCTCACACTTGGTACAGGACACAGGAACAGCAAACCCTGGACAGTTGCCAGAGGGGAGCCACAGAAATGGTGAAAGGGTGAGAAGCAGGGCCAGGGAGATCAGGCTGAAGAGCTGGCGGGGGGCCCGCCGTGTCTCGTGGCCCACCCCAGGTTTCCATGAGGGAATGCTGTGTGGCGGGGCTGAACAGGGCCTCTCAGAAACAGGTGCTCCACAAATGCGAGGGAAGTGCTTCTTATGGGGATGTGCTGAGTGGCTGTCCACGGAGAACCTGTGATATGGCTTCTCGAGGGCATCTCCGGATGCCTGAGGAATGTCAGCGCTGACCTCCACCTGTGTGGCCAGCACTCTCCACACAGGTGTCCATCTGGGCAGCTGACTTGGCACACTGTGGAGCAGCCACTGTGCCCAGGCCTGGGCTGGGCTCTCAGGGAAGGTCTGGGAAGGAGCCAACTGGGAAGGGAGTGCCTCGACTCCCTAGGAGACCCAGAAGAGGGCCTAGGAGAGAAAAGGGCAGTGGGGAGAGAACAAGCTCCGCTCCTTCAGAGAAGGCCTCAGGAGCTGGCCACAGCCAGAGGGCCCACACATGCATCCCCTTGACCATATGGTTTAGAAATTGAACACTTCAAAACAGGAAAAGTTCTCATAAAAGACTGGATTCATCATCATTTGTAAACTCAGAAGTTCTGGATTCTCACCTGGTACATTCCTCCGGGGCTGAGTGGTGGCTACCTCGTGAGCACATCCTAGATCCCTGGTTTGCCGCAGGCCCCTCCACTCCCTGTTGCCTCCCTGACATTGATCCAATGTTGGTTGGTGTTTAGGGTAGAGACTTGTGCTGCTGTGTTGAGTACTTCCTGCATACCTAAAGTATTTAATACCTGGAGTGGATGATCGTTTTTTAATATCCCTCCTCTAAAAAAACAAAATTATTTTCAGGACTAATCAGGAAATGAAACTAATAATAAAGGTTTTAAAATAGCCCCACCAATAGTGAACACTCTTTTATTGAATTCCATACATATTAATATGCTGGTAAAGAAATTTAAAAGAAAATAAATATCCCAGTACAAGTAAAGAAAACAGCAATGCACAATACTTTAAATATCATTAGTATATATATATATATATATATATATATATATATTTTTTTTATTTTATTTTTTTTTTTGGTGGTGCTGGGGATTGAACCCAAGGCCTTGTGCATGTGAGGCGAGCACTCTACCAACTGAGCTACATCCCCAGCCTCTCATTAATGGATTTTTTAGTAGAAAAAAAAACTTAAGCCTCCTTGTTGGTCTGTTGTAGTGGACGCTGTGCTCGAGTGTTTGGGCCTCGGCTTCTCCGTGCTTACCTTCCTCACATCAGCCTTCTCCACTCATCCGTGTCCGACAGGCAGCCCCAGCTCCTGTCTGTCTTTAGTCACCACTGGTGCAACGATGCTGCTAATTAGATTGTGAGGCATTTGGGTCACGTGAGGTGATCGAGGTGCAGATACTGAGGTCCTCACCACAGGACTCAGCGGAGATTTCTGGACATCCTGTCCCACAGGACATTCCACAAACTGCAGCGCTGGCCATGCTCTCGGTTCCCCAGGATCCACTCTAACGGCTTTCAAGTGTCTGTGGACAGAATGGCAGAGGGAGAGGGGACCAGCCGGGGCCCCAGTCAGCAGAGCCAGTCCCTAAAACCCTTGCCAGGGAACCATCTTCCAGTGGCTGGCAGGTGGGCAGGGGTGCAGCTGGCCAGCGTGACCTCCTGTAGGAGGGCACTGCCCAGGGACGAGTGAGGAAGAGACGGGCACAAAGCTTCACAGACATGGTTAAGATGCAGCAGACGCCAAAGCAGTTGTTCACGTTTCGACCAGCCACGGGTGTTCTTTGAAAGGAATCTTTGATTACTGACACCTTAGAGACACCAGTGCTCAGTTATACTAACAAGGAGGCCCACCGTGAGCCCCTCACAAATACTTTTAAATCCTGCACAAGCCGTGCACCCCCACCGGGTACTGGCTGCCTGCCCTGCACCCATACTCCCTTGCTGTTGCCCTGGGCAACTGCTTCCCGGCCTGCAGAGGGTGGCCTGTCTTCTCCTGGGATCCGATGCTCATTCTTAAGGTTGGCTTGTTGGAGGGCCAGAGGAAGACGCAGGGTTTCTTCCTGGGAACATCTCCTGCCCATGGCTCTAACTGCTCCCTTGGGCGCCTAACTCACCTGTTTGGCCTCAGACAGGTGGCTCCAGGGAGGCCTTGGTCTCAGGAGAGCTAGAAGAGAAAACATCATGGGGTACCTTCCATGGCTCCAGGTCATTCTCCAAAAATGAGACAGCCCCAGCCTCCTTCTAAGGTCAGAGTACTGTGCAGGCCCTGTGCTACATGGAATGGCCCAGTGCCCAGGACCATCCACTTTGAACTTGTCCACCTGAACCCTGCACTTAGAACTGTTAATGAGTCGGGTTTTTCCTGAGCCTTACTAGGCTGGGCTCTGGGCTACTCACTGAGGCCCCAGAGGTTGGCAGATTCAAGTCAGGACCTGAAGGTACTCACAACCTCACCTAAGGACTGGTACAAAACTCAACACAGGGAGCAACATAGTGGCCATCTCAAGAGCAAATGGTGCAGCAGTTGCCCTTCTCAAAAAGCAAGCTGGTTGGGGCCAGCAGAGCTCCCAAGTTTGCAAGAACCGTTGCAATTTCATTTGCAGAGATTTCAAAGGCAAATGAGGATCAGCATGGAATAGCAAGTCTCAGATGTTACTCTGGACCCCTTTATACTCTTAAAAAGTATTAATACCAAAAGAGCCTTTGTTTATCATGTATCTGAAACTCAAGAACCAGTAGACTTTTTGGTAGAGCACACTATTGACATTGACAGTGACACCTATTAATACTTATTAATATCACTGTGCTAGAAATTAAAACTGAGATGTGTAAAAGATCTTTATAATTCATCTGAAAATAACACAGATCTGTTACACATTAACATGAGCAGAATAATTTTATGAAAAAAACTCCAAAATTTTTTAAAAATGTAATGAGAAGGGTAGCATCATACATTTTGGCAACTCGCTAGTATCTGCTTAATAGAAGTCAGCTGGGGTCTGTATCTGCCTCTGTGTCCAGTCTATTGCAATATGTTTTATTCATAATATATTAAGAAAATATGGCCTCACACATTTTATGATTGGAACAGGGAGAAATATGTCAGATAATCATAGACATTCTTTGCTATTACACCAAAACTCGACAAGTGGTATTTTCTTAAAGGTTGGTTATGACATGAAATCTGAAGCCATCAGTGCACTTCTGTGCTCTCATCTGCTAGTTGTTGAGCCTTAGATGTATGTTTGTCATATCATGCATGGGTCATTTGGAGAATATGGGTTCACAGAGGGAGGTAGAAACCCCACATTTTAACATATCTAACTATATACTTTCAAAAGCTCAGATTTGCTGATGTCACTGCCCAGCTCATCAGAAAAATCCTTGTGTCAGGGGGAGCCCATCAAGTGGCACGTGGACGTTTTCCAAGGTTCTGATCTGTGCTTGAGAACTCAAGAGTTACCATTGGTGATAACCAGTGCTGGCTGTTTGCTGGAGATGAGAAGCTCACTTTGTTCACTTTAGAAAATACCTGCCAGATACCTCCATCTGAGTGCCTCCCTTGTCTGTTGCCCCTGGGCAGAGTGACTGGTAGAGCCCTTCTCTCAAACAGAGGCCACAGAGCTTCTACTGGGACCAGCCACCCTGGCAGACATAGCAGCAGTGCCTTGGCCACACAGAACAGTGATCGTGCTTGCACTTGGGGTCAAGGTCTCGAAAATCAACTGCACTGCTCCAACAAGGGACTTCCTCAGTGAAATTTCTTTTCCTGGATGGCCTGGAGAGGAACCCAGTGACTCCTCGTTCTCTTGGGCTGTGGCTGTGATCTTGCGGGGGGGCTCCAGCTCTTTAACCCTCCCTGGACTTCTGCACCATTAGTTAATGAACAAAAAGGGTGAATGACTCTAAGCATCACCAGGAACATCGCTTCTTTTATAAAGATGGAAAGGACACTCAGGGGCTGGTGGAACTTTGTGCAATCAATCGAGCTATATTCGTGAACCTGGCAGTTTTCTGCCTATGATTGGGAGGTGGCACAGTGGCACCTGTGACAAGGACATGCGATGTTCCAAGGACATGTGATGTTCCGAGGACATGTGATGTTCCGAGAACAACCGTCTGGAGATGGTTTCTGTGCAGGTCATTTTGAAATGGTTAGATTCCAGACCCAAGGCCCCGTTTTTCCATTTATACAGCCCCATGCCTGCCCAACAATTAGGGCGGAAAGACAGTTTGTTTTCAGTAGTGCTAGATGGATCATTTCCACTCAATTATAAAAGCAGCTCAGTTTATATCTAAAAATACTTTCCACCAAAATTCAAGACTCGTGTAATACAATCAGGGCTCAAGAATCACTCAGTGAATTTGAAGTTCAAATCTTTATGTCTGAGCACCTGTTGTTAATTTAAAATATGAATTTGTCAGTTACAGCTGGGAACCTATAAAATGTAGACGTGTGTAAGCACTCTCGCGGTTATAGTTTATGGAAGTGGCTCTCCCATCCTCGTGGGGCGTGTCTCTACCTAGGGCTCCAGGACCCAGCTCAGTCAGGAGATGCTGAACTGTGGAGGAAGGTGGAGCTGGCCCTTTCTGATGGGATGCACTGACATTAGGGTGACCAGGTTGTGCTGACAGCTAGAGGTGGGGACCAGGGACAGGAGGCACCCACCCAGAGAAGCAGCAGAAAAGGGCAGACAGCCAGGTGGAGGTGGCTCCAGGAAGGTGCTGGTGGCGGGGAGGGGCAGGAATTGAGAGGAGTGTGAGAGTGTGCCAGGCTGGCAGGTCAGAAACCAGGGTGGGGCCCTGCTCAGGACAAGTGGACAGGCTGCCATGACAAGCTGTGCCTGGAGAGGGAGAACCCCCAGGGGAGCCTTCGGCAGCCTTGAGGTTTACTCTGCCAGGGCTCTGCTGCTGGGAGCTAGAGCCATGCAAATGCCAACTGCCAGGCGGTTGTACGGGGTGCTGGCTGGGCAGCAGCCTTCCCTACCCTAAGTGTGTGGGGGCAGGAACCTGCAAGGTGTGGAGAACACAAGCGATTTGGCTCGTTGGTGAGCTCATCACCTCAGGATTCCGAGTCCAGGAGGAACCATAATTCTGATGGCCACCTGGAAGCCTGGTCCAGACCCTCCATGCTGACCAGTATCCCCGGGGGAGCCACAGAAGCTTCCTGCACCTTGGTTTCTTCCTCACAATTCAGGTGGAGAAGTGGATATGAAGAGGCCCTGCCGATAGACCTAGGCTGACATGGGGGCTGGGTGGCTGGATCAGTGTGGGGCTGGTGTGTGTGATGCTCCACACGGCGAATCCAGAGCTCTGGGTGGCTTCTCGCTCTCCCTACCACCCAGTTACCACTTGGCAGTTCCAAACTCTACTGAAACAAAAGGGTGCCCCCGTCCTTGGCCGTTTTCTCCCGCTGCTTAGAGAATAGCTCCTTCAAGAGTCAGTGTCATGCATCCTGGGCGCGCTCCATGGCCTGGCCTCAGGTCCTCCTGGGCTGGGAGCCCTGTGTGGGGCTGTGCAGGTGGGGTGGGGGCTGCAGGGGCAGCTGCCAGCTGGACTGCATGTCCCCATGAGTAACTCTCCTGCCCCACTGTTGTGCTACTGCAGACCACCATGCCTGGGATGAAGCGGGACTGTGGGGGTGCTGCAGCTGTCCTTGGGGCCTTCAGAGCTGCCGTCAAGCAGGTGAGTGAGACCCCACCCTCTGCAGGTGCTCGTTCTGGGCTTTCGTGTGGGCTCTGCCCTGCCCTTTCCACTCCAGCCCCAGCCAGGGTCCCTCCTGTGTCTGCACAGCTGGGCCCGTCCCTTCTCTGCACTTGGGTCCTTCATGGGTCCCAGAGCTTCTCTTCTTTTATCAGGGCTGCTCTGGATGATCATGTCTTCCTCAGACTGTGAGAGCCTGAGGGCAGGTCCACCCTGCCCACTACTCAAGGCCTGGCTTGGATTGAGGGAGGCTGGCCTAAAGCCACGTGGCATGCAGTAAGCATGATCCCAAAGAACGGACCCTGGGCTGAGCCCCCCGCCCAAGTGTTCCAGTCATTCCACCCACAGCCTTCTGGGCATCGACACTCTTCTAGGAAATGTCTCCCCAGGATTGACTCCCCCACTCCCATGCCCAGCCTGCTTCCTCCCTCACTTTGGTAGAAACTCAAGACTTGACCTTGCCTGCTGGCTGTGATCACTCTTGGGTGACATCCTGGGAAGCCCAGAAGTCCCAGAGCAGTAAAACATGCTTATTAAACAGAGTGTGCCCTGGGTGTCCTAAGCCATAAGCTCCTTATTGCAGCTTTTCCAAGGCAGCTTTTGAGAGTCTGAGCCCTTTAGTGTCACTAGATACAGGATGTTCTTCTCCCTTAGGCACTACCTGAGAAGGCTGGTTCCTTGGGGTAAACTTAAAATTGAAAAACAAAAACCCAGAAGGTCTTGACACAGTTGCTGGCTCAGACTGGTCAGGTGTTCCACCTGTAGCCTGCATGGGAGAGGAGCCAGAGGCCAGTGCGGGGCCTCCTGGTTTTCTGTGTGCCTCCCATGTGGCTTAGGTGGCTCCCTCTAATAGTCGTTGCAGCCCGGTCCGTGGGTACATGGGAGGTACAGGATGCCAGAGGTTGGAACATCCCAGAGTCCCTGCTCCACTGTCAGGCTGGCTCTTGCCTGTGTCCTGCTAGTGCCACACGTGGACAGGGTCTTCTAGGGCTTACAGGTGAGTACTGCTGTCCTGCAGAGCCCAGATGGGGGCATTTGGAGAAGGAGCAGGTGTCTGTGCTCCTTGCTGGCTGGAGACTAACAAGGGAAGCGGCCAGCATTCAATAAGGCCCTTGCCTGGCGCAGCTGCTGGGCTGCAGGTGGTGACACCAGACTCCTACTGCCTGGCCCTTCCCTTCCTCCCCCCAGGACCTCACTGGCACATCCAGACCTCACTTCCCTGGAAGATATGCGTATCAGAAGGGAGCTCAGGGAGCCGGCCCAGCTGTAGGGTGCTCACTGTGGGAGAGTTGGAGGGATCATAGGGCCATTTACCCTGACTGCTGCTCCAGCAGGGTGCCCTCTGGCACATGGGACAGGCTGGCTGGAAAATGCCGCAGGTAGACTCTTTCCAGTTTGAATTCCCTTTTCACAGGAAGCCCCTTGGCAGTTCACACTGATGCGTTAGTGGGCAGCCATGAGGGGTGCCAGTCCCTCTCTACCTGCAGGGGCCATAGCCAGTGACCTAAGGGGGGCCAAGGGCCCTGCTGTAGATAAAAATCCCCCTCCCACAGGCGCCCTGGACCCAGGCTCCATGTGGACACTGCCGTCCACCTTGTTTGCAGTCTCCTGCCGGCCTCAAGAAGGAATGTGCCTCAGTGAGAGCCATGAGATAAATAATGACGTAGTGACTCAGCCCACAGAGCAGCCTCGGAAGCCCCATACCCACCCTGGTGGGGATCAGCAAATGAATGGAGAATAACCAGGGACCATTTCTTACAGTGGGATTCTGATCACTAACCATAGAGGGGACAATGGGAATAGGAAGTCATCTGGCCAACACCACAGTGATCATTCTTTCAGGTACAAATGATCAACAGGTGTTAAGAGTGGAGCGAGGAAGCAGGTGGGAAGCAGGCTGGTTAGAGGCCCGTGCTCATTGGAGCATGGCACTTGCTGTAGCCATGCGCAACTCCAGAACAGGGGCACAGTCGAGGTGTGCCTCCTGATACTGTGCTCCGAGAAGGACACAGCTCTCCGGTGGGAGTCCTGCTAGAACACATGACCGCAACGTAGTCATGAGGAAACCCACCCCAAACCCCGGATTTAAAGTGCCAGACCACACAGGTTCCAGAGGACAGGGGCTCAGGAGACGCACCCATGAGTGCACTGGTGGAGCAGGTGGCATCCCATCAGGTCTTGCCTGGAGCTGCCTTCCGTGCACCTGGGAGCTTCTGTCTGTCCGTCTTTGAGTCTGAGAGCTCCTGGCTGGCCTTATCCCTCCTAAGCCTCTAGCTGTATCTGAAGCCTCTGCCCACTTCTCCCTCCAGGGCTTCAAAGACAACCTCCATGCTGTGTTCTGCTTGGCTGAGAACTCAGTGGGGCCCAATGCCACGAGGCCTGATGACATCCACCTGCTCTACTCGGGAAAGTAAGGCTGGACTTCCCCTTCCCTGATCCCTTGCTGTCTTTACCCTATAGTGTGCACTTGTGGCCTTCTTCCCAGGGTCAGGCCAAGTCAGCCCTAAATTCAGCCCAGGGTGGGAGGAACTCCACCATGATGCCATCTGTGCTGCCCTGTAGGGGACAGGGTGTCCATGCCTCCTAGGGAAGGATGGGGATGGTCGGGAATCTTGAGGGACCAGGAGCTCTAAATGGAGTCTCTGTGGAGCTGGGGTGTGGCTCAGTAGTAGAGCACTTGCCTAGCATGTGTGAGGCACTGGGTTCAATCCTCAGTATCAATAAAAATAATTAAAGAAAATAAAGGTATTATGTCCATCTGCAACTAAAACAATATTGAAAAAATAAATGGAGTCTCTGTGGTCCCAGAGGGGAGTCCCTCTCGTCACCCTGGAGAGCTGCATTCCTGAGTGGGCTCTCTGCTGACCCCCAGGACAGTGGAGATCAACAACACAGACGCAGAGGGCAGGCTGGTGCTTGCTGATGGCGTGTCCTACGCCTGCAAAGACCTTGGAGCAGACATTATCCTGGACATGGCCACGCTGACCGGGGCTCAGGTGGGTGCCCCAGGCTTAGCTGTAGCTGCTGAGAGGCTGAGGTGGGGAAGGCAGGTGGGATGGGGCTGCTGGCATCAAACTTCTCACCCTCAGCTGAGGTGGCAGGAGGGTTTGTGCCACGTGGGTGAAGAGGCGAGCTGGGACCCTGACCCCTAGCCTGTCCTCCACAGGCTCCAGCTCACAGTGCGGTTTCTTTCTTTTGGGTTCTCACACCTCTCTGTTGATTTCTTTGTTTCCCTGTCTGCCTCTCTGTCCCTCTTTTGTCTTTTGTGTTTCTCTCCTGCCCTCCTCCTGGTTGCTCCTGTGTGACGCTGACCCAGGGCATCGCCACGGGGAAGTACCATGCGGCCGTGCTCACCAACAGCGCCGAGTGGGAAGCGGCCTGTGTGAAGGCCGGCCGGAAGTGCGGGGACCTGGTGCACCCCCTGGTCTACTGCCCGGAGCTGCACTTCAGCGAGTTTACCTCGGCCGTGGCTGACATGAAGAACTCGGTGGCGGTAGGTCTAAGGCTGAGGGCTATGCCCAGACAGGTGGGCAGGCCATACCCCCACGGGGTTCATGCTCCCTGGAGACTGTGCCCGGAGCTGCAGCAGCAATGCTGGGGCTCCTGTGAGGCGGGTCAGGGTACAGTTGCACGTCTAGGAAGAGCCTGTTCAGTTCGCAAGGCAGACGGGCCTCTCGCTGGCCTCCCTGCCACTTGTCTGGGGCTCTGTACTCACTCCTGGGTCTGAGTCAGTTGCCACATTGGGTCCCCCACTGCTCCCCCTGTCCTGGAGTGGAGCTGACTCCTCAGCCCGTGGCTAAGGCCCTCCAGCTGGACCTCAGCCTCCCCTCACATGTGCTGCTGGCCACATGGCCTCCTCGCAGCCATGGTGAGGCTCAACCGAGGGATGATGGGACAAGGCAGACAGGGCGGGAGACCACATAGGCACCTGGGAGCTACCCAAACCCCTCCTGCTGCTGGGAGCAGGAGGTCACTGTGCATCTGGCCTCCGTAGGACCGTGACAACAGTCCCAGCTCCTGCGCGGGCCTCTTCATTGCCTCACACATCGGCTTCGACTGGCCTGGGGTCTGGGTCCACCTGGACATCGCCGCACCAGTGCATGCAGTAAGTGCCTGGGGCCACCCCGGTGTCCTTGCCTCCTGCTAGGATTCTCCCCTGCCCCACCCCTCCTTGCTGGCCTGGGCCAGCCCCTCCTCTTGTCCTTATGGAGCCTCTCTGTCTCCAGAGCTGCTGACCGAGCTCAGTCTGTGTCAAGGGTCACATTGTCCATGGCCCAGCCTCCGGCCAGCTGTGATACCCCCCCACCTCTGGTCTCTTCATCCCTGGGAATAGAGTGGTTGCCTTGTGTTGTCCCTCCTAGCTACCCCATGCTCAGCAGGGAGCCCAGGACTCCTTCTGACTCCTCCCCATCCTGAGCAGATCTGGGGGTTCAGGAACAGCACCTGGGGTTGTGCCCAAGGCCTCACCCATTCATTGGCCCTGAGGGTGGCAGGACGCCACTGGGAGGCCCAGGACTCTGGCTGTGCTCCAGGATCCCCTCACCAAGAAAAGGCCTGGGGGAACCTGCCTCGGTAGGCTGGCCGGCCAGGGCCAGGAGGAGGCTGTGGGAGCTCAGGGTTTCTACCCCCTCTGCCACAGGGTGAGCGAGCCACTGGCTTTGGAGTGGCTCTTCTGCTGGCACTCTTCGGTGGAGCCTCTGAGGACCCCCTGCTGAACCTGGTGTCCCCACTGGGCTGTGAGGCAGAGACACAGGAGGGTACCGTGGGTCGGGACTCCAAGAGACGCAGGCTCGTGTAAGACCAGCCTCCCGCCTTGGCCTGGAGGCCAGGCTTTTTACCTCACTTTGCACTGATTAATTTTAAGCAATTTAAAGATCAAACCTTAAGATGGGCCTTGGTTGGTTTTTGTGTGTGACCGGGTGGCAACGGAAACAGCTCCTTCCCACGTCTTAGAAGGTAGCTTGGGGCTTGATGGGGTCCAGGGAGGGGCTGGGGTGGAAGCATTGGGGTTTGTTTCTGTTCGAGCTATCTGCAGGTCTCCTCTGTCCGCTTCTGCAAACTGTGCTTCCCCTGCACCCTGGGGCCCGTAGCACCACCTGAGCCCAAAGGCTGCCCACCTCTGCCTGTGCTGTCTCTGGCCCAGATTCTGCTCATGGCAGCTCCATGCTGAAAGCTCAGGCCCTCGCTCCAAGTGACACCTCAGGGGCATTCAGCCAGCCCACCCCCAGAAAGATGTGACTGGCTGCCAGGGACCCCACTCTGTGGGGTAAGAGGAGTCCTCCCTGGCCCTGTGGAATTCACTTGAATTTTAAATAAATATGACCACACCACATCCTGGCTTTGTCTCATTCTTTCTCCCACACCTATGTCTTAAAAACAGACCTGGTGTCTACTGTGGTAGGGAGGCTCAGGCCACCACCAGCTTCTTCCACTAGTTCTGGCTTTTGAGATCCAGCCAATCAAGCCGTTTTTGCAGACAAGAGCCCTGGAGTCTGGGGTGGAAGATGGTGGCCGTCAGGTCCAGCTCAGCTGTTCAGGTTGTCTGAGAGTGCACAGCACACACTAATGTGGAGGCTCTATGGGTTTTTAGGGCTCTTCCAGGGTCCCGCAGCCTGTAGGGAGGGCTGTTCTGGCTCCCTGTACATTCCCGGCTGTGTTTCCCTGGCTCTAACCTCGCTCTGAGCACAATCCTAAGCAATGTAGGCTGGACTCCTGGAAACCAATCCTGGATTCAGAGTCTGTCCCTCATACCTGGGGCCCAAGTAAAGCAGGTATGGAAGCCAGGTTCCCACAAGTTTGGATGACAAAGTCTCTGCTACCTTTTGTCTTCCACCCCAGTGGAGCTGGGGAAGAGATTAGAACTTAGGTCCTGACAAATGGGGAGGTGGCAGCCACCTTTTCCGTGGGGGTCGTGGGAATGAGGAACCTGGCTGCAGGTCTGGAGGGCTCACTTCTCTGGCTGTGTCCTGAGCCCACAGGCCACCTTGCTCCAATCGTCCCTGGACCCCAGGTCCCTCCACAGCTCTGGAAATCAAGGTGACTCTGGACCTGGCCTCAAGCAAATATTTATTAACTGCCTGCTGTATACACTGCCCTGGTTCCAAGGCCCAATCCTGAGAAAATGCACCCCCACAATAATAGTAGTTGTGGGCAGCGGCCACATGAGGGGGAGACAGCAGGCTCCTGAGCACTGGGGAGGCACGACCAGTGGCTGGAGGGGCTGGGAGCCTTCACGGGTCATTAGCTTGCTTAATGGCTTGCAATAGGCAGCTCTTGCCCGGCTTTCCTGAGACACCCCAGAGGAGGCAGAGGTCACCGAGGTGGTCAGGCTCCTTCTATGGGGCAGCTGGCACCATCCGCTCCCCCCGCCAGGGGGCTGCTTCTGCATGGATACAGGATGTAGGGTCAAGGAGCAGGGGAGGAACTCAGTCTCCCTTGTGTGGACACAAAGGCAGCCTCAGGGCCGGGACCCAGCTGGGGACCAGCTGCAGGCCCAGGGTTTGGCCTGCGTGCCCGTGTCGGGGAAAGTGGGAGCCAGCCAAAGGCCTTACTTTCCTGGGGGCCAAAAGGCTTTAGGATGCGACGGCTGCTTGCCCTGGCTCCCCTGGAGCCCTGGCAACAGGGTCACAGCAGTTGGGCCGCTGGCGGGAGCATGGACGCCCTCTCAGGTCCACTTGACTGTGGATTCCAGCCAGCGGCCTAGAAAATGAGCTTGGTACTTGGGGGCTTCTCAGCTCCTGCCCACCCAGTCTGTAGAATGGGAAGCTGTGTCGGCTGAGCAGGCCGTCCAAACTCCACAGAAATTCTCATGGGGGCGAGGGGTGCCAGGGAAGTGCCCCTGGGTGAACCAGGCCATACCCATCATCACCAGCAAGAGCAGCCCACCGCCTCTTCTTACTCCTCTCGCCTCCGCACACTGTGTCCCTCCCTGGAGCGCTTAAGAGCCCATTGATTCCCCTTCGTTTTTCTGTGCCACCGAAAATGGAGGAGACAGAATTATTTCAAAGAAGCGACTCAGACAGAGTGATTTTACCAGAGAGCGCTGAGGATGGGCCTCTCAATCATCTAGAGAACAAAACCCCAGCTTATGTTGTAGATGAAGGTGCCTCCAGGCCCTGCAGGCTGTTCTCAACACAGCGCCTCCACGGGCACAGCGGGCCCCCTGTGCCCCCAGGCCCCCAAAGTGCCCCTCCTCGCCACCTGCTCAGGGTCCTCTACCTGGGCCCTTCCCCCACCCTCCCACCAGCATCTCTTGCGGTCCAGGGCTTGAGGGCTGCTGGGAAGGACCTGTCTTGCCCCCAAAGCCCTCGCTCAGGAGCTGGTCTGCGATCCCCACGGGCCCCCACCACCCAGGAAGCGCTGCCGAATGTTCTACTGCCAGGCTCCACCCAGAGCCTCCGATCAGACTGTGTACCCTGGTGAATTAGTGTTCGGCTTTTTTGTTTATTTGTTTGTTCTTTAACAAAAGATTGTTTTGGTTTGAGATTCAGCAAAAACAGACACTGCATTCAGCTTCCTCTCCATTCAGGACTCAGTAAATTAGTTGTTTTGCAGTCTGCTTCAAGTCCTTGCCTCAGATGAGCCTCCAACAAGATAATGCGTTTAAAAGCCCTTGGAAAAATACCAGCCCCACGCACACAGAGGACACTGTCATTGCGGGGCTCTCAGAAGACAAGGCCTGTGGCTCACCACCCCCACTCTGGGTCCAGAAAACAGTCTTCCATGTGGTCCTGGGGAGGGTCCAGGAGGGAAGTGGGTGTCCTTCATGCTCCTCTGTTGCCAAATTGGTCCCCAAAGCCCAGGCTGTCCACCCCCAAGGTGTGGGGTCTCTTTGACCATGCCCAGGGCTTAGGGGGCAGGGGAAAAGCCAGCACTCCTCCGGGATGGTGACCACGCCTACCCACATCCATCCTATGAGCCATTTCTGCTGCTTTCCATGCTGTTGTGGCCCTGAGGGCTTTGGGGTCCATCAAGGGAGCACTCCAGTCAGGAGAACAAAACCCCCAAATTTAAAGGTTCAAAGTCTGGTTTCATTCAGCATGAGCACGGGTAGTCTCCAGCCGGCCCTCGTTGGCTTGGAAGAGGCTCAGGCTATCTGGGGCCCTCCTTCCTCGCCCTGTACTAGACGCTGGAGTTATCAGGGAAGCCGCTTCACCACAGCCCTCCTCCCAGGTGCGCCCTTTCTTCTTGCAAGTTGAGCGGATTTCCTTGGGATCCAATACTGGGCCTGGCCCAATAGTGATGGCCTGAGCTGGCCCTCATGCAACCGTGCATGAGGGCCTGCATGCATCCCCTGAAATGCAGATCTGTCTCATGGCAACAAGCCTATGGCTGGAAACTCAGCTCCCAGGAGAAGTCAGAGCAGCCCCCTTGGAGAAGGCGTGAGAACTCCCAGATGCACCTCAGGGCAGGCTTTCTTGTACCTGTGGTGTCCTCAGGAATCCCCAGGAGAGCTAATGCTGCACCAGCGGTCTGCTAGTGCAGGGAACCCTGGGCCACATGCCTTGACACTGCTCCTGTGCAACAGAGGCACAGGCTTGAGGCCACACGGCCAGAACAGACTGTCAAGGGGAGACAGGGCCTTCCAGCCTGGATGGCCTGCACTCTGTGTGACTTCTGTCTTCTCTCCCACACTCTGCCCTTGGAGACTGCCCACCCCGCCCTGGGTCAGGACGGGGCACATGCAGCGTTGGGCAGGTGAGTGTGTCTTGGTGAATGCAGGAGACAGTTCTGGAGAGCTCGTCACCACTCAAACACCTAGAGAGCTGTACGTGGCCCCAGCTAGGGCCTCAGTTTCCTCATCCACGAAATGCATGGGCCCCACAAACCCTCATGACATCGGACTTGGCAGGGATTTCTTGAGTGTGGCTCCAAAGGCATAGACGACAACAAAAAGACAGGGAAGTTGGACTTCATAAAAAATGGTGCATCAAGACATTATCGAGAGAGGGAGAAGGTAACCGCAGAATAGGACACACTTGCAAATCAGTTATATAATAAGGGGTTGCTATTCAGAATACGTAAACTCATAAACCCCAACAACAACAACACAACAAACACTTGATTTAAAAATGGGCAAAGGATGGGAACAGACATTTCTTGGAAAAAGATACACCAATAGCCAACAAGACACAAAAGAAAGCTCAGCGTCTCTAACTGCCAGAAAAACACAAGTCAAAACGATGTCGAGGTACAACCTCACGCCCATTAGGATGGCCGCTGTGAAAAAAGAAAAGAGGGAGACAACACAACAAACACCAGTGTGGACACAAGTAGGAACCCTTGGGTGGGGTTCTCTACACACATCACCCAGGGATGGAAAGTGAGGTCTCAAAGGGCGTTTTGTGTACCCAGAGCCACAGCAGCACTGTTCACATGGCTACCTGTGGCAGCGAGCCGGATGTCTATGAAACAGCGAGCACATAGGGTGTGGTGGGAGCCCAGGCCCTGGGCCCAGCAGATCTGGCTTCAGACCCTGACTCCACCACCCTTGCAGCTTTGTGGCCTGCAGCCAGCCAGCAAGCCCCCTTCCCTGCACGGTGGGCACCCTGACGTGCTTGTGAAATGCTGCCTATACAGGGAAACTGAGCCTTTTGGTCATATGCTAATGTCCCACCTTGTGCTGGCAGCAAACTCTGGTTGAGGCACCTCCAGAGCCAGGAGGGGACAGGCACAAGGCTCTCTCCTGCATGGGTGAGCGTTTGGACCACCTTCTCCGTGTCAGACACCATGTGCCTGCCGGATGCCTCCACATTCTTGACCAGAGGCACATTCCTGAGGGGGTAGGGAAATCGAAGCCCAGACCCTGGAAAACAAAGGCTGCCACAGATCGGCGTCTAGGGCCCTCTTCCTGCCTCTCCCAGCCTGTGCCCTGCTCTGCCCCTCTGCTCTGTTTCCTCCACCCACCCCTCACTTGGGCCTGAGAATTCCAAACAGGACACGCACGTGTGGCTCCTGTTGCTAATTTAAGGGCCCCAAACAAAGACATCATGGCCTCCCAAGACTGGGAGACGCCTGCCTACCCTAACCCTAACCCTAACCCCAACCCTAATGAAGAGCCCCCATGTGCCTCCAGGCAGGGGCAGCTGCAGGTGCCCACCTCACGGCTGTAAAGCATTTCTTTATTAGCCCATCCGTCCAACAAACATCCACTGTTTTCCTCCTCTGTCAGATGCCAAGGGACAATGGCAGGAAGAGATGGCCCTCTCCCACAGGGCTTGTAATCTGCCCAGAGCACAGGTGCTCTTCAAATTACCACCCCAAACAATACACTACAAACCGTGACAACCACCATGAAACACAGGCATGCCCTAAGATGGGAACAATTTGAGG